GAATTCTGCATGATAAATCCATTAAATTCCAGATGGCCACTTGGGAAAAACACAATTCTGCTTCTAAACAGTTTGAGAATTGTAAAGGTAAGTGAAACTTGCTGCTTACACCATAAGACTGATGTCTGTGAAAGTGAAGTATTTCTCAGCATGCGCAAATGCAGCTACATCTATGATATTACTTCAATGAAATGATAAATTTCAGACCACCCTAGGGAGTGGAGAAATGGATTCCATTCAATTTCATCTTTTTAATAACAGATTGGACATAATACAACAGCGAGATGATTTTGTTATCCGGTACTTGTAGGAGGAGGTAAAATTTTCAGTTCAACAACTCTGTTAGTTACTACCAAAGTGTTGAAATAAAATTATATTGTCATACTGAATTGCTTTTGTGTGTTGTTGCTTTCTGTCCCCTTACTTGGTTCTCTTCTTAGGGGGCAGAAGAAAGGATAGAAGAGTAATCTGAGTTAAGATAATGACTTTACTAAATATCATACTCCAGCACTCCATGTCTCAGGACTTTCAGGGAGCAGAAGTGAATAGAAAGACTCTGAGGTTTATTGCTCTGAGGTTTATTGCTCTGTCCTTTGCCTTCTAGCATCATAGCTGAAGACAAGGAAATATTGTACTCTAAGAACATAATGGCAAATCTCTTTCCTAGATTGTAAATTTATGCAAAACTGACACATTTGTCCATTAGATAAACATTTTCCACATTTTGGAAAGCATATTGGTGGATTTAATTTTCATCTGCTGTGTGGGAAGTGGGTTCACAGGATGCATTTGTAGAAGAACTAGCAATGAAGAAGGGTTTTTGGCTTGCTGACTACAGTTTTCTGCCTCTATTAGCAATCATGTCATATAATCTTCCTTAGTTATTTGTGAAGCTTCAACTTGCAGGTTGAAACTCGATGAGTTTATACCTCCATTTCAATTCCCTGTGAGGAAAGAAATCTTAGATACTGACAGTACCTTGTTTTGTTCTCTTCTGGGATGGTTACTTCCAGTTTAGTTTCCTGATAAAAGCTTGAGTTAGGGTCTTTCAGCTTTCCAAATTACTAGTGTCATGTAGGCCAACACAGAATATCAAGGAATCTACTAGATAGAAAACAGTGAGACAGGAAATCCCTGACTTTCTGTTAGCCTCAAATAGCTCATCTTTACCCCCTCTGTCTTTCACCTCCTTGTGTCCCTGAGGATGACACCCATTACTGAAGTGTGCAGATGGACTCCCACAAGCCCTATAGTGCCAACTCTCAGCACCATACTCCCTGGATATCACTTGCCTGTGGGAATTCACTACCAAGATGCTAAAACTGTCTTTTGCCCACATGACTTACCACTATTGCTTCCAGCAGGACCCATTGCCCTGGGGTGATTTTGAGATACATTTTACTTTAAATATTTAAACCTGAATCAAAACTACTTTTTTTTTTCTTTCTCTCTTACCTTAAGTTTAACCAGTGCTGAAATACAGCAACATAAAGTATATTTTGCTGTGTGTTCTCTTTTAATTCTCTCCTTACTTTTCCACCCACACATAAATACACACAGTCTTCAATATCACAAATACCATGGAAAAAAACAGGAATCAGAAAGTGTCCAGTTGGCAGAAGGGAGTGCTCTCCTCAACCTCTTTTTATGCCTCTCAGTCATCTTTCACTGAATAATATAAAACTTCCACATTAGGCAAAAAAATGAGGTTTCAGAATTTTGAGTTGAATATTGTATCTAAAAATGTTACACATGTTCCAGTAAACAAAAAGAGTATTCATATACTGCACAATGGCACTGTCTTCTCAATCACATCATGGTGCATAATTAGCCCCGAAGGATCTTCTTTTTATATTATGTCCTTAGGATTTCATGGCTCCCAAAAAATATTGAATGTCTAAAATTCTCATGAAACTGCTACCCATGATTCTTTCTCTGAAAAATTTGGAGGAAAATTAGTAACAACTTACACACTCCCAGAAACCAATGTGTTTTCTGAGAGGGTGATGTTACTTGTTACTGTGGCCATGTTTCTTTTCATTCACAACATCCATATCATATTGAAAGGTGTATTCTGTATTCTGATAGAGCCACTATGAGGCAGTAGGACATTTAAACTGTAGCTGGTAAAAGGAAGAACTTTGCTGTCTGAACTTAAAGCAAGTCATTAAAGCCAGTAAATTCAAAATGTAGCTTTTCAGCCCTTTGTCACATTATGAGCAGCATTAACATTGGTAGTTTAATGGTAGACAGGAACATTTTTCATCATTGGTCAAATAAAAAAATTCCTGAGTTTTTTCTTCATACATCCGGAGAGCTGCAAAACTAACCAAGGACAAATATGAGACTGCTGAAATATGAAACAATTAAAGGAAATCCCAGTTTAAATCATAATCTCCAGATGGAAAGTGTAAAAAAAAGAAAAAAAAAGTTTCACTGGATGCTCATTCTATTCCTTTTTTTTTTTTTTTTTCAGTGAACTCTGCTTACATGTGAATTAAGAAGATTTTGTGGGCTTGTGCAGGAGAATTCAATATATATATCTATGTTTCATCAGGATCAGGGCTGGTGCTGCAGTAAATTCAAATTACATTCCCTAGTTTAATCAGTGAGTTTGGAACCTTTCAGGACAGAATTAAATTAATCTTTTCTAAAAAACTGCTCATTTTGTTGGAATTGAACTCACATTAGTAATGTATTTGACATCTCATCATCTACATACCCCCATATCCCATCAGTCAGAAGTGACAGGCTTATACTTGCCAATATAATGAAAGATGATGAGCATTTTTACCCATGAGGGTACCTTGAGCGATGATGATTTTACTTTCAGGATAAGATACTTCTCAATAAAGAAAAATAAAAGAATCTGTGGGGTTACCAGTAAAATATATTTTTGCAATACTCAAAAATAAAGAGAACAGAAATAAAATTAGTCTAACACTTAAAATAATAAAATGAGTCTATGATTTAAAAATCTGCTTTAGCTTTTTGGTGAAGATTGCACAGGTTGCCCAGAGAAGTTGCGGGTGCCACAACTGGCCTGGAACACATCCCCAGAAGTGTTCCAGGCCAGGTTGGATGTGGCTTTGAGGAGCATGGTCTACTGAAAGGCTCCAACCCTGCCACGGCAAAGGGGCTGGAACTAGGTGATCTTGAAGGTTTCTTCCAGCCCAAACCATTCTATGATTCTGTCTCAGGATATGATATGTTGTACTCTTTTAGATAAATTCTGGTGCCCAAATTAGCAATTCTTCCTTTTTCTTGCAAGAATCAGTAGTGGAAACACAGTTTGAAACTGACCTGAGCCTCTTGTTTAGCAAGTGAGTTTAAACCCACATCACCTTTATTCATTTAAAACTGTATTTGCTGCAAGTCACTGATAGGCATTATGGGTCTGTGGCACAGGTAAGACCCTTGGTTGTGCAGCTTCTCTGATCTGCTGCTGGTAATTGCCCATATCAGCTGTTTGTTTCTGAGGAAAACAAGAAAACTCCCATCTTGAAACACTCTGTCAAGGCAGAAACTGTCCTATTTCTCAGTGTCATCAACTTTTGCCCAAAGAATTAAGGTTTTTATTACATACACTTGATTATGTGTAACATGCTATTATTTGTATACCTATTTGTGTCTGAAATCAGATGCTTTTCAATGAGATTGTGCTCAATTATTTTTTACAATGATCATCTCAATAGATACATTCACTAAACTAAAATAATTTTTCTCATTTTAGAGTTTAAAATAATTCAGTTTTGCTTTGTTTCCATATGCTCTTAGAGCACAAATTGAACCCTAGTTGATAAGTATTTATTCTGTATATTTTTAGCAGCTATTCTGGTATCAGTGTCCCAATAGAAACTAAATATTCCCAGAATTTCTTATGAAGTTTTAACTTGTTCACAGTCATCTGAAAAACTGATCTTTTTCATTTAATTTCTTAACTCAGTATTTGGATATGCCATTTTAAGCCCAAGCTTTGAAAACTACCAGTTTCCATTACCCATCAGGGAGTCTTTCCTAAAAAACAAAACCAAACTGAAGCATAACAAATAAGGCTCAACTTTAAAATGATGCCATGTCCAAATCTTAAGATTGGAATAGTTCCAAATTTAGGGGATTCTAGATATTCATTATGAAAAATAAATATAGCTAGTTCTGAGTTTGGGTTTGTTTGGAGGTTTTATAGTATAAGGGCAAGGAAACTCTCATTCATCTCTTCAGAGAACAGAGGTTTCCATTCACAGCAGAATGTTTATGGAATGTTTATCCATTATCTGAAGCATATGTAAGAAGGAAATAGCTTTGTTTCTACAGAAATTATCACACAAATATAAAAGTATATATTTTATCAATGTCCATTCATTCTCCAATAATTCTAGGTCTATGTCATTCAATATCTTGGCTAATTTCTCTTGTAGCTATGTTGTTATTGCTATATGTTATATACAGCAGCAGTACCTACAATTCCATCAGGGAATTAACACTGCATTAAACTGTATTAAATGTGTCTAAGCAATTAGCTCAAAGCCTGTTTGTGTTCCAGGGAACTCATATTTCAGAATGGGGTGTGGAAAGGAAAAAATTTACAGTTACACTGTCAGGCCCCGCTAGTTCCTCAAACCAGCCAAGGGACAATGGTGAATAGTAAACCATCCTCATACCCTAAATTAACATTCTAAAGAATTGGTGTCCATTAAAACCGCTTGGTGCATTTCTTTCTTACTGAAAATTCCTATCCATATACAAGTGCTTTTGGACGTTGAAAGAATGCCTTCAACATAAAAAATCTTTAAAGAAAAAAGAAAGGAATTTTCATCTCTCTATCTCTGGACTTTTGGAGTTCAAAAAGTTTCAGAGAAGGAGGTGATTTGGTATTGTTCTGAGCCGATTTGCTCTGGCTGAGGAAATGACGAGAAGGAAACTACTTCTCTGTCTCGGGAACCATGTGGTGTTCCAAGATAAGGCAAGCACTTACTAATTTGAGTCCAGAAGCAGGAAATGTGATACATCCATTTCCTTTCAGGCAAACAACACAGTTCCGTGGCAGCACAAAAGCTTTGCTTCTAGTGCAAAAATCTCAAAATTCAGAAAACTATTGCTCCTTTGTGGACGTACCATTCTGTGCTTGCTATTTGGATGTTATGGATAGGAACAATACTTTTACTCCAATCACATGGCCACCAAAGTTTTGGGGTAAGGATATTGATTTTTTTTTTTCCAGAATACTCCTAATGTAGATGCAGATATTTGTTGTTTGCCTTAAAAAATATCTCTATATACTTTCAAGCCTCATGTTGGATGCAAAGAGTAATAAATAGGTTTTGTTTTTCCTGCAGTGATTAGACTATTTTCCAAATGTTTCTTTGACAAAGTTTTATCATGTTCTTAAATGAATGAAGACAGAAGAAGCTACCAGGGCAAAATTGATTGTTTCAAAAAGTTCAATACTGCAGCCAGTTGAAAAGGTGTCTATTGACTTCAGTCAATGGTCTGACCAAGTAGACATTCTCAACTGGTTAATGGATGTACCGACACAGCAGACATGATCTGTTTCGTCTCTTGATGAAAATGGGATAGCAAAGGCTAAACATGTTTCAGGATTTGGAATAAATTCTTATTCCTCCAGAATGAAAAGTTATTTGTAAATTATTGTGCTGCCTTATGGTGAGATTTTCCTCAATGTATATATCTATTATTATCTACTGTGGCTATTCGTTTTCACCCAAATCTGGGAATAGTTCATAAACTGAAATGTATAGTGTAAGGTGAAAGTATATGTTACACTGAAATTCATTCAGGTTAATTAGGATTCTTAATCTGTGGATCCTTTAAGGATCTTAAAGGATTCTGTGCAATTGCTGTGGAAAATCTTTCCCTCCAAAGATTTATTCTATTGCTTGCTATGTTTAATTTTAACATTTATTAGCAAATAGCTTAGAATTAATTACGTATCTGGTTTTTCTCTATTGTATTATTGCTATTGAGCAATGATCCCTCCAAGAATCTGAACACTATTTAAAGCTAAAAAAATCATGCATTAGTGAAATACAACTTCAGTTGCACAGAAGTGCCCTAGGAAAAGAGTGGGGAAAAAAAAAAACGTACAAAAGGATGGAAATAAGTCCCTTTTCTTTCTTGTCATAAGGAACAAGTATCTGTTAAATGCCATCTAGGCTTCCTGCAGTGACAAATATATTTTCCTACTGAGATACAATGACAGAATCAGTTAATTTTTGTGTCTTGGGCTAAAGAATAGAGTAGTGATACTCGACATCTTTGATAAATTCTTACAGATTAACTGAGGAAAAATTACAGTTATTACTGTTTCAGAGTCTTTTGTCTGGAAGTTGTCTGCTAAGCTCTGAAGAACAATAACTTTTTTACAGTGAAGATGGATGTAATTCTAAAATTGCTGTTCCAGAATAAAAACTTGTTGCATTTGACAACACAGAGCAGGACACACCTTATCGGATTTATTGCTGAAAGGACCAGCACCTCTTTTCATCCTCATTGCTCACCTGGCTGGTCTGACACTGTACCCAGCCCTGATCACATCCCATTTGCTTAGGCTCTGACAGCAGAGGAACCTCAGAAATCAGATATTTGTGAAGAGCTTTCGTGGTTAGCTCAGATTTTTATTACTTTTCTGATAGATTTTAGAGGAGTAAATATAATTTTCTCTTTATTTCCCATTGGTACATTGTGCACGGTAGACTAGGAAGTGTGAATGCATAGTATATGTTAGAAGATGATGACTGACATAAGCTCACTCTGTGGAAACATCACTTAAAACAATAGAAGTGTGTTTCCTAACATCTTGGAGATACCTGACTTGAGGTAAAAAAACCCGCAACTACACGAAATAGATATAAATAAAATTTAGTTCTTTATTAAATATGAATGCAGTACTTGGAACTAATTTTTTAGGACATAGCTTAAAGGCTGTTTTCTAAGCCACCCACCATGTAGCACGGTGCATTACTACATTACCATGATACATTCCTTCTCCCTGCATGTGTGACTTCTCAGCATCTTCCATAGACCCACCCATGTCCAACATGTGCACAAAGGTTTGCTGAGAGGGACTAAGTTTGTGAGAAAGAAATCAGTGCTGTAAAAAGCACTGTTCATAAAAATATGCAACTGTTCATAAAAATATTTAATCTCTTACAATTTTATAAACCATTTATTGTCTAACAACTTGTTCCTGAAGCTGGAAAATATACACGCATCCTGTTTTTTATAGTTGTCCAGTTTCCAGTGATAGCTTCACACAATAGCTTCTTAAAAGTGACTCTAAGAATTTTAGAGCGATGAAAAAACTAAACTGTCCTCTGCTTACTTATTTGTGAGCACATATAAATCATTTTACAGTTGCTCCAGGCCAGTGGAAGTGTGCTTTAAGCAGTTGTGTTGAGAAAAACAAGAAATAAACACCTCAATATAAGTAATTCTGTATGAGTTGTCTAAGTAGTCTAAACTCTTTCTCTCATGCAAAGATCTTAAAAAATGATATTATTTTAAAAAATCAGTACACTTTTTTTTTTGCAAGCTTTGTTTACAATCAGTGACAGACTGGAGAGTTAATAACTGTAATGCTTAGCTGTAAACCTTGTAGGAATTCTTCTTTGAATTCAGATGTCACCATCATCAATCTCCAGTATTTTTGGAATGCTAAATTATGCAGTGAAGGAAAGCAAAGGCAGCAAAAAAGTTGTTTTGCTGACCTAAAATCAATTATACTTGGAAAAGTAAAATATTAAACTCTTTTCTGTTTTAAATTAATGAGTTTCTGACAGAACTGGCCCTGTCAGCAAATGCCCCCTGTGTAATGTGTCATCAGAAAATAATTTAGATCCTGAGTCTTGCTAGGCTAGAGCCTTTTCCAACTGTTTTGCAAAGCTTTTGTAGATATCCATGTCTGTTTCAGATAAGTTGTCTGAGCTACTTCCAGAATGCAGGAGCTTGTTTCTATCAGGTGCCAGCTTCTGTGAAGCTGTGTAGCTGCTGCCCACACTCCTTCACAGTGGGAATCCATGGTATGGTACTTTGGAAGAGGTAAGAAGAGAAGCACTTAAAGGCAGTCCTTGCTGAACTTCAGCACTGCTGATATCACATTGTAACTGTAGACAGAGAGTCTGGATTACATTTTTTATTACTAGTTTCAAAAGGAGGCCTAATAATAGCTGAGTGAGAAATTCGAGGTTTGATACTCATTCATCAACAAATAATCTCACTTTTTACAGTTTTAATATCGACTTTATTGAGTTCATTTTGATTTATAAGATAACAGTGGGAGTAAAGATGTTTCCACTTAAACCAGGAGTGCATTTCTTGTAATTCCTAAAAGCATTTTAGGTTGCACACAAGTAAATACAATAAATGTCTTTAAGATAATCCTATTTCTTCAGCATAGATAGCAATATAATTTCAGATCAGGAAATTTAATTTAAATAGTACATTTGATCAATGTGACATCAGTAGAGAGAAAAAGTGTAAGCAGATTTTAATCAGCATTAACTTAGATTCCTAGACTACCCTTCAGTCTAGTTTTACTCAAGTGTCTATTTAAAAATGTAACCTTAAAATTTAATAACTTAAAAACAGTAAGGACAATTTTTCTTTTCTTGAATCAGAATCCAGGGTATTATTTGTTTGCTGTGCGGTAATAATGCTATATATTTGCTGGCTTCCAGCATTTTGAGATTTCATACTGCCTGGCACATACTGCAGGCATTATTGTTAGACTTCATAAGCTACAAATGAACCCATGTTTTTTAATATATCAAATTTTGCCTAGTCTCTCCTACAACCCACTGGTCTTCTCTTCATTAAAATGTGTGTTCTGTTTGTTTGAAAGAAGTAAGACTACGTGCTCTGCTGAAAAACATGGCATTAGGAATGAGCATATTCTAGTGCCTCAAACTGTGTTTATCATGTTACTGGTGTAGCAATAACTGGCTAAGGCTGTGCATCGCTCTCTTTCTGCACTGGAGGAATATTTGTGAAGGGCAGCACTGACACCATCAGTAACAAAGCTGCTGGGCACTGCAAAATCCAGCCTAGACAGCCATAGCAGATGATTCCTCTTCTGGAATCCTTTGTGAGTGGCACTCACGGCAGAGTCGAAGCAGAAGCAAGAGATCCAGCCCTGTTCTTTGCAAGCAGGAAAAGGAGAGTGTGTGGTGGCCTGTGTGGTGAAGCAGGTTCAGCCTCTTGGCTGACACTTGGATGTCTGTGTCAGCCCATTTCCAGCATAGCCACTAGCTGGTCTGCCCTCATTCCCTTTGCCCTTGTTCATATACTGTACACTTTCCATTCACGCTTTAGCAGCAATAGAAAGGCTCTGGAGCCTGCCTCAGCTGTCCTGCTGGAGAAGTGGACACAGAAAGACCACAGTCTGGAGCTAGCTGTGGAGCACTTGACTGACAGCAGATGTGGCAGTGGGATCTTCTCACAGGCCACTACTGTTGCTAGTCTGACGACTGGAAAAGAGCAGCATCTTTGAAGCAGACTCAACCAGAGGGCCTCTATCCTGGTAGAGCTGGCATTGCTAATAGGGCAGAGGATTTCAATAAGCTGACGATGCAACTCCTTTCCTGGAAGAAAGGAGGAAGTAAAGTTTTGACATAGAAACACTACAGATGATTTACACCACTGAAGATTTTTTTCTTAGTAGAGAAAATCTTCAGAGTTAACATGGAAAAAAGAGGGAGGAAAACACAACAAAATTAGTGCTTTGGATTGGAGATCTATCAACCTCAAGGCTGTATTTCCTGAATTGTTATTATTCTTCTCTTCAATTCTCTTTTCTCCCTTTTAAAAATCACCCCAGTGTATGCATTCATTCATCCTGGTATTTTAATTCATGGCAATGAGCCAGAACAGAGCAAGTTGATTGCAGACAGTGCATCACCTGGAGTTTTTCCCTTTCAATTTGTCTCTTTTGTTTTGTCAATTCTCTGTGATTTGGAAAAAAAAAAAAAAAGTAATTTTAGAAGTGCAATATTTGGCAGCATATCACACATCATAAGGAATTCATAGGACAAGGAATAAATTTTTTTCCCAGGAGATACAATCTTTTGCTGCAGGGTCTTTGGGTTAGATCACTAATGCCTACCAAAGTTTGGAAATGGAATGTGAAAAAATGAGCTTCTTCCTTTTTAAATTATCAGACAACTTCAGACTTTACA